AGGTGTGGGTTGTGGTGTCATTGGGCCTCCTGGGTTGGCTGGGTTGCCTCTTGGTTCCTATGGTGGGGGCCCTTGTGGTTGGTCAGGTGTGTGGATGGTAGGCCGCGGTTTGGTCCTTTGCCCGGCCACCCTGTACTCCCCTGTGATCGGTTATGTTACTGGGGATGGTGGTGGTTGCCCGGGTCGGTCCGCCTGCGGTTATGGGGGTATTGGATCCTTTTGGATCCCTGATTCTCCCCATCTGCACGTGCGTGGTTGGTCCCGCGGTCGTGGTTTGAGGGCTTGTGCTCTGTGAGTGTGCGGGGGTCTCGCGCATATGTGGATTCTGCCGGCCAGGCCAGGGATACGTCATACACCAATTGGCATTGGCGTGTCCAGTCAGGGTGCTTATAAGCAGCATGGGCCAGTGTATTACCTCTTGGGACTCCTGCGATACTGAGTGGACTCTACTGGCGACCCCACAGATTGTGTGCTTCCTTGTGGCCACAGGTATATTACATTTTTTCAGGATGGGTAGTTTGGGGATATGAACATAGAGGGGAGCTATACTAATGGGAGCATTCTGTCCTCTTTTTTTCCCCTAGGTCAATCGGCCTCTATACTCTCTATCAGAGGTTACCCATTGTGGGCTAAGTTAGAGTTCCTTGCCGTTTACTCCTCAGCGCGGGATCGTGTATACACTAATCTCCCTGGTCTATATAATTGATACATTGTTTCAAGCATAGAGATAATTTTGCTTTGTGAATCTGGGCCCATGAATGTACTACCAGATGGACTGTCCCTGTGGTATATTAGTTAATTTATTATATTATGGTCTTTCTCCAGGCCCACACTGCTTTGCATCATTAATCCGGCTGTGGTTGGGCTATCATACTGGCGTTATAGAGCATCAACTAGCATTTCTGTCTTATATTCTTTACCTGCTGATTGCTTGGGCACTTCATGGGGTTCTGCACCTGCCCATGATCTGGTTGATGCACCCCCACACCCTACAGTGGGTTCTACCCTTCCTTGTAGCCCTGGGGGGATCTGGTTCTGATTGCGCTAGGGAGCCCTTTGTCACACAAAGCACATTTGTTAACTATGTAAGTGTTTATAAGTGTTATTTATGTATTTTTGTCCGAATTCATAGACCTGTTTATTGCTCAAGTTTGTTTATCATCTTTAGATGTGTTGCTAGCCCTGAAGAAGCAACTTTAGTCACAAAACATGTTGGGTGTCTGCTACACAGCTTGAACACTCCCCCTACCTTCTGAAAGAAGTACATTGTTCGTACCATCTTCATTCATTCCTTTATGGAACCAGTCTGTTATGGTTGGTTTGGTGGGAGGGAGATCGGCTGTGGGTCAAGTGTGCAATGCATTCTTAAATATATACAAGATATGTTTTAAAGGTGACATGTTAATAAAGTAACATTGGTTTTATCTTCTGTGTTTTTGTGCCTAAAAAGTCCATTAGATATTTTTATTTCCAATACTATTCAATAGGGACGTGGCACTATGGTATGAGTTGGGGTATGACCTCCTACCACCCGATGGTCGCCCCATTCTTCTTTTTCCAATTTATATTGTCAAGAAGAAGATGAGAGACACCAGACCCAACAATGCAGGTGAGTTGAAGGCCACTATCAAAGCAACCTGGGCTTCCATAACACCTCAGCAGTGCCACAGGCTAATCGCCTCCATGCCACGCTGCATTGATGCAGTAATTCATTCAAAATGGAGCCCTGATAATTATTGAGAGCATATTATACTGTACATAGACATACTTTTCAGTAAGCCAACATTTCTGTATTAAAAATCTTTTTTTATTGGTCTTATGTAATATTCTAATTTTGGGTTTTCACTAGCTGTAAGCCATAATCATCAAAATTAAAAGAAAGAAAGAAATTCATTTTTGATGATCTTCTAATTTATTGAAATGCACCTGTATACTGTATGTACAGATTCTGGCACTCTTTAGGTTGTTTTTATAAAAATGCCAGACGTCAAAGTATTTGATTTCACTTTACGTCAGTTATGTTGACTGAATGCTTCTTTGATACAGTTACACAGATACTTACCATTTGGAAAATTGTAAACACCCTACCTTTTTGCTTTGCTGTTTCTGTTTTGTTTCTGTATGCATTCCATATGTAATTACTGGTGGAAAATCTTCTAAATAAAGAATGCAAAATAAACTTAAATGAATGAACAAAAAATATCTTAAATAATCCATCTATTTAAACATGTAGTTTTTTCTTATTTTTAAGAAAATTTTGCTCAAGCAGCTCAATATGCAAAATTAAGAGTTCCACTTCAGCAAACTTTTAAAGTGAAAATAAGTATTAAAATAAGTAATTTTGCAGCTAAATCAAATTAGCCAAACTCATTTAATTCATCCCTATTTCCTAGTAACAACATTAAAGTAGTTTCAAAGATGCACACAGAGCAGAGTTTTCTGGCTAATAAAGGTTACTGTGCACATCCTTTGTTGTACGCTTTAAGGAAAGATTTTTACTTTATAACTTTAAAATCACTGAAAGACTCCCTTTAAATTTTCCCTGTTTCTCAGTCTGAATCACTTATGATGACATACATAACTTTTCAGCAGTCTCCATATAATTTTTTGTTTGATTGTATCACTAAAGTATGAAGACATTAATTCTTCCAAATAACATTTGGTTTTAATGAGATGTCTAAACCTGCCAAATGATTAATGTTCAGTTTGCCAAGTTTAAACTATATGTTTTCTTGCCATGACCATCATGTTTTTGATTAAGATATTTGTGTTTTTATTTAAGGCCTTCATGAGGGTCCTAGAAGAACATGTAACCAATTTGGTTTTATATTGTTTGAGCTTTTGAAGAGAGCATGTTTACTATATTTCTATTATGGTTTGATTTTCAGTTAGTCCCATGTGTTTGAAAAAAAGTGGTCTTTATGTTACATTTTATGTTTTAGAGCAGGCTTGATATATAACATGTGGGACATTTTCAAAGATTGTTTTGCCTTTTTATATCGCTATATTCTTTTAAGTGAATCTATCACCTTTTGCCAAATAAGACATGGCATTTGCCAGTATGACACTTTGAACGTTGTTCCGCTTAACCACTTGAGCTCTGGAAGATTTAACAACCTTCATGACCAGGCCATGTTTTGATATGCGGTACTGCACTAATTTAACAGACAATTGCACGGTCATGCAACACTGTATGAAAATGAAATTTATATCATTTTTTTCACTACTGTTTTTTTTTTTTTATTATATAAACGAAAAATATCAAAAATAAAAAAACTATATTTTTTACTCTGCTATAAAACATATCCAATAAAAAAAAATTAATTTCTTCATAAATTTAGGTCATATTTATTCTTCTACTTGTTTTTGGTAAAAAAAAAATCCCAATAAGTGTATATTAATTGGTTTGTGTAAAAATTATAACATATAAAGATGACAGTATATATACTGAAATTCTTTTTTATTTACTTATTTATTTATTTATTTTAATACTAGTAATAATGGCAATCTACGACTTATAGCTGGACTGTGATAGTGCGGAAGGCAATCATACACTAACTGACACTGAATGGAAACTGACTAACTGCCACTGACATCACCAGTGATATTAATACAGAGATCAGTGCTAATAATATGCACTGACACTGTATTAATGAAAATGGGTAGGAATGGGGTTAACATCTGGGGAGATCAAAGGGTTAAATAGGTTCTTAGTCAGTGTATATTGTGTGCTGCTTTACACTGTGAAACAAATAATTTATTTATTTTCCCTACTTTGCAGAAAAAAGAAATAAACCAATCTGTCACTCTGCATACAGCTTTGTGTTGTTTACATCCAGGAGCACCAAACCCAGAAATAACTGGATATGTACAGGTACGTGATTGTGCCTGTACATGTCACCGACCCACCGTATATGTATGGGGGGGTGGGTCAGCAAGTGGCTAAATTTGTAACTGAAAAGCAGTGAAAACACTGGTTTAATATTTCTGTTTTAATGCTTAACTCTAAGCAGATATAAGCAGTTTAATTAAAAATCAGCATATACAAAATGTTAATATGTAAATATTGTACATTTAACCAGTACATTTTACCGGCACTTTTACCCCCTTCCTGCCCAGGCCAATTTTCAGGTTTCAGCGCTCTCAAACTTTGAATGACAATTGCGCGGTCATGCAACACTGTACCCAAACAAAAGTTTTTATCATTTTGTTCAAACAAATATAGATTTATTTTGTGGGTAATCACCACTAGTTTTTTATATTTTGCTAAATTAACAAAAAAAGACCAAAAAACCTCAAGTTTTTCTTTGTTTCTGTTATAAAAAATTGCAAATAAATAATTTTTTTCTTCATAAATTTAGGCCAAGATGTATTCTACTACATTTCTTTGGTGAAAATAACCCAATCAATATTTATTATTTGGTCTGTAGGAAAGTTAGAGTCCACAAACTATGGATATATTTGAAAATTGATCAATCCTGAAGTACTGACAGCCAATCTAATTTCTTGAGGCCCAAAAATGTCAAAACAGTACAGATATCTCCCAAATGACCCCTTTTTGCAAGTAGACAGACCAACGTATTTCTTAAGAGGCATGGTGAGTTTTTTGAAGTTGTAATATTTTTGTAATAATTTTTTGGAAAATGAAGAAATTAAAAAAATTATTTTCACAAATTTTGTCTTTACATACTGTCACAGATCTCGCCACAGCGTGGCCCTGCAAGCACGCGCAAGGCACAATCCCGGAAGGACATCATATGATGCCCTCCCGGATCGATGAGAGTTCTGCCCAGCCATCATTTTACTAGAGGCCAGGCGGGAAGTGGTTAAAGTACTTGACTAAATACATATATATATATATATATATATATATATAATATATATATATATATATATATATATATACACTATATCGCTAAAAGTATTGGGACACCCCTCCAAATCATTGGATTCAGGTGTTCCAATCACTTCCATGGCCACAGATGTATAAAATCAAGCACCTAGGCATGCAGACAGCTTCTACAAACATTTGTGTAAGAATGGGTCGCTCTCAGGAGCTCAGTGAATTCAAGCGTGGTACTGTGATAGGTTGCCACCTTTGCAATATGTCTGTCAGGGATCCCCGCGATCCGTCCCTCGATGGTCCCGGCGCAGGCGCACTGCTCCTCCCAGTACACGGGCACTAGGTCCGGGCCGGCCGCGGCGTTCGAGTTCGCGCATGCGCAGTAGAAGCCGCGGCCGCCCGCTGGGCACCAATGGCAGCGCAGGGCGGGATATTTAAAGGTCCCTGAGCTGTCATTTCGTTGCCTTCTGGCCTTACCTGCATTCCTGATCCTGTGAACCTGTATCCTGTAAGTTATTGACCCGGATTGCTCTTGACCTTGCTGATTTCTCCTGCCCAGACCCTTGCTTGCCTGACCTCTCTCCCTGGATGCCCCTCTGTAGATCTGACCTCCTGTTGCTGACCTGGCGTGTGACCCGACGATTCTCTGCCTGCTCCCTTGTACCTTACCGTCCTACATTACCGACTCGGCCTGTCTGACTACGCACTTGCTCAGCCATCCATCCATCCCATCAGGGTCACCCGACCTCCTCACATTTGGCTCTCCCTGGTTGGAACCCCTGGCGGACACCCCTACCACTGACAGGTGTGCTCAGTAGAGGCGACCTGGTCTCAGGGTACTACAAGTCCATCCCCACCATCAGGGGCCCTGGTGAACAAGTACCCTGGGGCTTAGATTCCGCGCTCTGGGCACGCCTGACCGGTGGAGTGCTAGTGGTGCCGCTCGGCGGTCCCTCACAGTACCAGAAGGCCATGACTGAGCCTCGAGGAGGACTCACCCCGTTGGACGAGGTGTGCAGGCACCTGTCTACCCTGACGCAAGCTGTAAACACATTACAGGACAGATGTCTGCAGATCGAGAATCGGTTTCAGGCCTGCACCATATCTGTTCCTGTTTCACAGGCCCCGGCTCCTGCATCTCCAGTCGCAGCAGCCCACGAGCCGGCTCCTGGGCCTCCCACATCACTCCCTATGGCGGAACCCCGAGTACCCTTACCCGAGCGCTTCCATGGGGATCGCACACGTTTTCGGTCATTTCGTGACTCTTTGTCTGCTCTTTTTTGAACTACAGCCACGGACCTTTTTGACAGAGTCAGTGAAAGTGGGGTTTGTTGTCTCCCTGCTGCAGGGTGAACCCCAAGACTGGGCACACCGACTAAGGGGAAACAATGACCCTCACCTGGTTTCGGTCGACAGCTTCTTTAAACGCTATGGCCATCTTATATGATGACCCACAACGGGCGGCCTCGGCCGAGGTCACGTTATACGCACTCCGACAAGGTCGGCGGACGGCTGAGGAATACGCCTCTGACTTTAGGCGCTGGATGGGTGACACTCGTTGGAACGAGTTCGCCCTTTTACAACCAGTTTCGTATGGGCCTATCTGAGGCTCTGAAAGACGAGCTCGCCCGGTAGAGGTGCCCGAGATATTAGAGGACTTGATTGCACTCACTATTAAAATTGACCGTAGGCTACGGGAGCGCAGGAGAGGTGGTCAGAGGTCTGGTCAGGGTCGCGGAAATCCTGGGGTCATTTCAGGGATCCGTCAACATACTAGGCCAAGCATCCAGAACCTGCCGGCTGAAGATGCCCCCGAACCCATGCAGCTAGGCCTGGCTCGGCCTAAACTATCGCCTGAGGAACGCCAGCGCAGACGCTCCCAGAATCTGTGCCTGTACTGCGGCGAAGCTGGTCACATGGTGCGTTCCTGCCCGCAGAAACTGAGTAAGTTCACTTCATCTTCTTTATCTGTTGGCGATATGACCCCGTCCCAGTACTTAGTTGTTCCCCTCTCCTTTCAGCTTTCCGAAAGGACCGTGGAGTGTGTCGGCCATAGTTGATTCGGGGGCATGCAGCTGTTTTGTGGATATCAATTTTGCTCACCAGCAGGGTATTCCCCTCCGCCCAAAGGAGAAGGGGTTTCATATCTTTTTTTAGCTGATGGTTCCCGGATAAAGTCAGGAGTAGTCAACCAGGAGACCCCTTCCATTATGACTTCCATTGCCAGTCAGCACCGGGAACTCCTCCGCCTGGATGCTATTGCATCACCCCTTTTCCCAGTCATTCTGGGGCTCCCTTGGTTGCGGGCCCATAACCCCCAAATTGACTGGGAAACTGGGGGTTGTCTCGTTCCCTTCCCCATATTGTCGGGAACTGTGTCGAACTTCGGGCCCGGGGTCCCCCAGGTTCTTCTGTGCTCTGAAGGGGATGACAGCCTGAAACAAGTGGTTCCTGCAGCCTATCACAAGTTCCTTGACGTGTTTCAGTGAACGGGGAGCAGATGCTCTACCCCCCCACCGCCCATATGACTGTCCGATTGATCTGTTGCCCCGTTCTGAAAATCCCGTTCGGACGAATTTTTCCCCTTTCTGAGCTGGAATTAGGGGCCCTGAAGGACTATATTGAGGATAGCCTCCGTAAGGGATTCATCCGTCCCTCCACTTTCCCCAGCAGGTGCAGGGATCTTCTTTGTAGAAAAGAAGGACAAGACTTTGAGGCCATGCATTGACTATCGGGAGCTGAATAGGGTCACCATTAAAAATCGTTACCCATTACCTCTGGTGCCTGAATTGTTCCAGAGCTTAAAGGCTGCGGTAGTATTTACCAAGTTGGACTTAAGGGGAGCCTACAATTTGGTTCGCATAAGGGAGGGGGATGAGTGGAAGACGCCTTCCGCACCCGATTCGGCCATTTTGAATACCTGGTCATGCCTTTCGGGTTATGCAATGCGCCAGCCACCTTCCAGCACTTTGTAAACGACATCTTTAGGGACTTCCTGGACATCTTTGTCATCGTCTACTTAGACGACATTTTGATTTTCTCATCCTCCCTGGGGGAGCACAGGGTACATGAAACAAAGGTGTTGGGGCGGTTGCGGCAGCACGGGTTGTACGCTAAAGCAGAGAAATGCTGCTTTGAACAGGCTAGCGTTACATTCCTGGGTCTGATTATCTCCACCACGGGGGTCGCAATGGACCCTCAGAAGGTATCAGCGATCCTAGATTGGCCTGAACCCACGGACAGGAAAAGTGTCCAACGTTTTATTGGGTTCGCAAATTTCTACCGGAAGTTCATCAAGAACTTCTCGGGTCTGGTCTCCCCTATCACTCAATTAACTAAGCTTGGGACGCGATTCAGATGGACGCCCGAGGCACAGGAAGCCTTTGAGGCACTAAAAAGGTTATTTACCTCGGCACCCATTCTGGGTCATCCCGACGCCTCCCTGCCCTACATCTTAGAAGTAGATGCATCTGAAAACGCGGTTGGCTCCATCCTTTCCCAGCGGAAGGGCGCCAAGGAATTACTTCACCCAGTAGCATTCTTTTCACACGGAAACTTACCCCGGCGGAGAGGAACTACGACATTGGGGATTGCGAGCTACTGGCTATCAAAACCGCTTTAGAGGAATGGAGGTACCTGCTGGAAGGTGCCTCCCATCCCATCCTGATATTCACGGACCACAAGAACCTGGAATATCTGAGGACGGCCAAACGTCTACGCCCACGACAAGCAAGATGGGCATTGTTTTTCTCGAGGTTCCAGTTCCACATCACATACAGGCCCGGCTCGAAAAACACGAAGCCTGACGCATTGTCGCGCATGTATGAGGACACCAAGGAGATCCCAGTGCCCGACACTATTCTTCCGGCAGGGAATTTCTTGGCCCTTCAGACAAACCTTCGCTCCGAGATCCTGAGGGCGTCCACAGCAATGTCTACCTCCGATGGGGGCCCCCCTCCAGAAACAAGGAGGGACTCCTATGGAGGAGGACCGGATTGTGGTGCCAGAGGATGCCCGAACCTTAGTCTTGGGACATTGCCATGACCACCCACTGGCAGGACATTTTGGACCAGTCAAGACCCTGGAACTTCTCCGGCGTTGGCCAAGGATTGTAAGATCTACGTGGGATCCTGTGGTCTGCCAGCGGAACAAGATTCAAGGAAGCAAGGCGAATGCTACGTCCATATGGGGGCATGGGGGTCCATGGCTTCAATAGGGAGCCCCTCCTGCTGGAACATTCTCCATCAAGGACGCTTCGGGGGGGGTGGGGTGGCGGATGGAGGAGATCTCCGGTTGGGGGGGTGTGCTGGGGTGGTGGGTGGGGGGGGGGGGGGGGGGGGGGTTGGGGGGGGGGGGGGGGGGGGGTGGGGGGGGGGGGTGGGGGTGGGGGGGGTGCATATACCGTTGAATTGCGTTCCCGGGCATGGGGCCTGCCCCACGCTGGACCATTGTCCAAAGCCCTGGTCCCTAGGCAGAGTCTCCATGGACTTCATAGTCGATTCCCGCTCCTAGTGGTGATGGGCTGGACCACACAGCAATTCTCGTGGGTATGTTGTGGACCGCTTTATCCAAGATGGCCCATTCATCCCTTTACGGAAGACACCATCTGCAGCCGAGACGGCACAAGTCTTTATTCGAGAGATCGTTAGACTGCATGGGGTGTTCCCGAAGACATCGTCTCGGACCGAGGGGTGCAGTTTACCTCGCGGTTTTGGAGGGCGCTGTTGCAAAGCCCTGGATATCAAGCTGTCTCTTTCCTCGGCATTTCACCCTCAGACCAATGGCCAAGACCGAGAGGACCAATCATGCACCCTGGAGCAATACCTGCGATGCTACACATCATCATTCTCTCAGGACGACTGGGCGCCACTCCTCCCTTTGGCAGAATTCGCGTACAACAACGCTTGCCATTCAGCAACTGGGCAGTCCCCGTTCTTCGCCAACTATGGGTTTCATCCGGTCTTCCTCCCGGACTTGGTCCCCGGAATGCCCGATTCCAGCGACGCAGGATGCACTGACCTTCTTCACCTCCAACAATAAGAAATTACAGGAAGCCATCCGTCAAGCCCAAGAAGACTACAAGAGGGCTTTCAATAGGAAGCGAAGAGGGAACCTGGTGTTGCAGCCCGGAGAGAAGGTTTGGCTGGCTACGTCAAACTTGAGGATGCTTTGCCCGTCAAAAGAAGTTGGGACCTAAATTCATAGGCCCTTTTTGCATCAAACGGATGGTCAATGAGGTGGCCTATGAACTTGTTCTCCCTGACACACTCAAGATCCACCCTGTCTTCCACGTGTCCCTGTTGAAACCGGTAGTCCCTGATGCCTTCCCGGAACGGGAATCCAGGCCCCCGGAGGCCGTAACAGTTGAAGAGGAAGAGGAATTCGAGGTGGAGGCAATCTTGAAGTGCCGTCGAAGGGGGGGCCAGACCCAATTTCTCATCAAGTGGAAGGGCTACGGCCCTGAGGACAATTCGTGGGAACCCAGCCCATAATGTCCATGCACCTAGGCTTGTCCGGAGGTTTCTTTGTGATCACCCGTGGTGGAGAGATCGGGTGGGCATCCGGAGGTTGCCCGTAGGGGGGGGGGCAATGTCAGGGATCCCCGCGATCCGTCCCTCGATGGTCCCCGGCGCAGGCGCACTGCTCCTCCCAGTACACGGGCACTAGGTCCGGGCCGGGCCGCGGCGTTCGAGTTCGCGCAATGCGCAGTAGAAGCCGCGGCCGCCCGCTGGGCACCAATGGCAGCGCAGGGCGGGATATTTAAAGGTCCCTGAGCTGTCATTTTCGTTGCCTTCTGGCCTTACCTGCATTCCTGATCCTGTGAACCTGTATCCTGTAAGTTATTGACCCGGATTGCTCTTGACCTTGCTGATTTCTCCTGCCCAGACCCTTGCTTGCCTGACCTCTCTCCCTGGATGCCCCTCTGTAGATCTGACCTCCTGTTGCTGACCTGGCGTGTGACCCGACGATTCTCTGCCTGCTCCCTTGTACCTTACCGTCCTCTACATTACCGACTCGGCCTGTCTGACTACGCACTTGCTCAGCCATCCATCCATCCATCCCATCAGGGTCACCCGACCTCCTCACATTTGGCTCTCCCTGGTTGGAACCCCTGGCGGACACCCCTACCACTGACAGGTGTGCTCAGTAGAGGCGACCTGGTCTCAGGGTACTACAAGTCCATCCCCACCATCAGGGACCCTGGTGAACAAGTACCCTGGGGCTTAGATTCCGCGCTCTGGGCACGCCTGACCGGTGGAGTGCTAGTGGTGCCGCTCGGCGGTCCCTCACAATGTCCATCTGTAAAATTTCCTTGCTACTAAATATTCCTCGGTCAACTGTTAGTGGCATTATAACAAAGTGGAAGCAACTGGGAACAACAGCAACTCAACCATGGTGGTAGGCCACATAAAATAACAGAGCGGGGGTTAGCGCATGCTGAAGTGCACAGTGAGCAGAAGTCGCCAACTGTCGGCAGAGTCAATAGCTAAAGACATCTAAACTTTGTGTGGCATTCAGTTTAGCACAACAACAGTGCAAAGAGAGCTTCATGGAATGGGTTTCCATACCTGAAAAGCTGAATCAAGCTTCACATCACCAAGTGCAATGCAAAACGTCAGATGCAGTGGTGTAAAGCAGTGGAGACGTGTTCTCTGGAGTGATGAATCACGCTTCTCTGTCAAACATTCCCATAGATACACTCCTAAACCTTGTGGACAGCCTTCCCAGAAGAGCTGAAGCTGTATAGCTATATACAGTGGGGATCGAAAGTTTGGGCACCCCAGCTAAAAAATTTGTATTAATGTGCATAAAGAAGCCAAGGAAAGATGGAAAAATCTCCAAAAGGCATCAAATTACAGATTAGACATTCTTATAATATGTCAACAAAAGTTAGATTTTATTTCCATCATTTACACTTTCAAAATAACAGAAAACAAAAAAATGGGCGTCTGCAAAAGTTTGGGCACCCTGCAGAATTTATAGCATGCACTGCCCCCTTTGCAAAGCTGAGACCTGCCAGTGTCATGGATTGTTCTCAATCATTGTCTGGAAAGACTAGGTGATGTCAAGCTCAAAGGTTTTAAATGCCCAGACTCATCTGACCTTGCCCCAACAATCAGCACCATGGGTTCTCTTCTAAGCAGTTGTCTAGAAAACTGAAACTGAAAATAGTTGACGCTCACAAAGCTGGAGAAGGCTATAAGAAGATAGCAAAGCGTTTTCAGATGTCAATATCCTCTGTTCGGAATGTAATTAAGAAATGGCAGTCATCAGGAACAGTGGAAGTTAAAGCAAGATCTGGAAGACCAAGAAAAATATCAGACAGAACAGCTCGCAGGATTGTGAGAAAAACAATTCAAAACCCACGTTTGACTGCACGATCCCTCCAGAAAGATCTGGCAGACACTGGAGTTGTGGTACACTATTCCACTATAAAGAGATACTTGTACAAATATGGTCTTCATGGAAGAGTCATCAGAAGAAAGCCTCTTCTACGTCCTCACCACAAAAATCATCGTTTGAACTTTGCAAATGAACATATAGACAAGCCTGATGCATTTTGGAAACAAGTTCTGTGGACCGATGAGATTAAAATTAAACTTTTTGGCCAGAATGAGCAAAGGTACGTTTGGAGAAGAAGGGGCACAGAATTTAATGAAAAGAACCTCTGTCCAACTGTTAAGCATGGGGTTGGATCAATCATGCTTTGGGGGTTGTGTTGCAGCCAGTGGCACAGGGAACATCTCACGAGTAGAAGGAAAAATGGATTCAATAAAATTTCAGCAAATTTTGGATGGTAACTTGATGCCATCTGTGAAAAAGCTGAAGTTAAAGAGAGGATGGCTTCTACAAATGGATAATGATCCTAAACACACCTCGAAATCCACGGGGGATCACATCAAGAGGCGTAAACTGAAGGTTTTGCCATGGCCTTCACAATCTCCTGACCTCAACATAATTGAAAATCTATGGATAGACCTTAAAAGAGCAGTGCGTGACAGACAGCCCAGAAATCTCAAAGAACTGGAAGACTTTTGTAAGGAAGAATGGGCAAAGATACCTCAAACAAGAATTGAAAGACTCTTGGCTGGCTACAAAAAGCGTTTACAAGCTGTGATACTTGCCAAAGGGGGCAGTACAAGATATTAACTCTGCAGGGTGCCCAAACTTTTGCAGACGCCATTTTTTTGTTTTCTGTTATTTTGAAAGTGTAAATGATGGAAATAAAATCTAACTTTTGTTGACATATTATAAGAATGTTTAATCTGTAATTTGATGCCTTTTGGAGAGATTTTTCCCATCTTTCCCTGGCTTCTTTATGCACATTAATACATATTTTTAGCTGGGGTGCCCAAACTTTCGATCCCCACTGTATATATATATATATATAGTAAATCTGGGGTAGCTCGGGAATAACCTCCAGCCAGTTTGGTAAAAAACAAAACTTTTTTTATTTGAAAACTAAAGGCATCTTACTTCAGCCAAAATCTATAAACGGTCCTAGTATCACAAAACTAAACAGCAGCCTCACTGCCAATCTTTGGTCATGTACAGGGGATAGGCTCCTCCGTGGTAAGGGTGTCAGGTGGGCCACACAGGGGGATTATCATCCCCCACCTCAGCTTATCTGAGAGCTCACACTTGCCACACAGCTTGTGTGTCTCTCTCTCTCACTCTTTTTTTACTCCTCCTAGACATACTGTACTCTATGAATACAATATGCATAAAATTCCTATAGATTTGCTTGAGATACTTTTGTAAGTATGTCTATTCATACTACATGACTGTACCTACTAGAATTTTAAATCTAAATGTTTTTTTATATACCCAAACCCACCTATCTTTATGAATGATATATTCTAGCATGTGGAAATACAAATTTAGGTAAGATGTGAAATAGTTTCCTTGTGTGTACTGTGATTTACAGGTTGTTTGTTAAGCTGAAGTTGACACTTGCAACTGGATTCATCCCAATGGCTGATTCCCTATGAGATGGTTTGATTGAAAGTTTAACTGTATAAAATGGTATGACTATTGTAGAGGTGAATATCTTGCAGCAAAATATACTAAAATTTATTCTAAGCATTTTCTAATAATTATAAATACTAACAATAAATACTGATTCCTATTTCAAGTGTAGGAATGTGTGCTAATGGTTATGTGTGCATTCCCTTTTCTTAATTTTTCTTAAAAACTGTCATAATACAGCTAACATTTTCCACTTGGTGCTCTTAAATGAGCATGATGTAGTGTGCAGGCTAGGAATGAATGCATAGGTCCTGATTTATTAAAGCTTATATCCTTTAATATCATAATATTAATAATAAGCTTAAAAAGCTTATGTTAGCGGATCAGTCACAAAACAGACAATCATATCACAGTCTCACAGTATTTTACGTTTGATGCATGTGGATATGTCAAATTCACTACCAAAGCAGCTTTCTAAGGAATGTACGCTATAGAATCTGAAAGTACACCAAACTGCCTGAAGTGCTGACATAGCTAAAATGTAATTGTAATCTCTTGTTTAACTGCTGTTAGCTACTATTCATACTATATCTGGGGGGCAATATCAGTAAAAGCGGTATCAGTAAAGAAAATAAACACCGGTTAGTGTATGATATGAAATTAAAATATGCTCCATGGAAAGATACAGTTCACAAACCTTTAACGCAAGTGAAAGACAGACTGTGACCATAGTTAATAGAATACAGAAATTCATACTCTGCTGCTTGAGATTCCACTGATCTATGACTGTGTATTTTCTCATTTATTTGCTCCAACAGCATGGTGTACAGATAGTTTTGATATGCTTTTGTAGCCTTTTTTTGAGGGGGGGGTTATGACAAATGGCTCTACCCAAACAGGATATTGCACATAAAACTTGTAGGTAAATAAGAGAACCAGAACCTTTGTAAAGTAAAAGACTGGGTATGATAATTAAGTTGACAGTGCCTCCCCCTAGGATGGGGTCTCTGTCAACAGAGGGGATTCCCTTCCTGGAAAATTAACCAGTAATCTAATCAAAGTAACTAGGAGCAGAGACACTACTGCAACCAGAATATAACATATAACAAATAATAAAAGGTCGGCCATGGAAACCCATTCCATGAAGCTCTCTACACTTTGTTGTTGTGATAATCTGAAGGCCACATGAAGTTTGGAGGTCTTTAGCTATTGACTCAGCAGATAGTTGGTGACTTCTGCGCACTCTGTACTTCAGCATGCCCTGACCCCACTCTGTCATTTTATGTGGCCTACCACTTTGTGGCTGAGTTGCTGTTGTTCTCAGTTGCTTCCACTTTGCTATAATACCACTAACAGTTGACCGTGAAATATTTAGTAGCAAGGAAATTTCACAGATGGACTTATTGCACAGGTGACAACCTATCATGGTACCACTCCTGAGAATAACCCATTCTTTCACAAATGCTTGTAGAAACAGTCTGTATGCCTAGGTACTTGATTTTATTCACCTGTGGCCATAGAGGTGATTGGAACACCTGAATCCAATGATTTGGAGGGGTGTCCCAATACTGTTGGCAATATAGTGTAGATGACTGCATAACATGCACTTATCTGCTGAAAACTTTAGTCCTTCTTTTAGGTATTATGAAATACCTGAATGATTCATTCTTCATGCTCTGGTAATGTAGCCCCACTTCATGCAAATAGCTAACGGAGTGGACATCACAGAGCTGAGCTATGATGTCAGCTCTTGGTCAGAAGAAAAAGTCTGACCTCCTTCAAGAAACTTATGGAAAGCAATTAGTGTCCATTATCACAGCAGCTGTGTGGGAATCATATGTGTCAGGACAGACAAGAGCCATGATCTCCATAGTAAGAAAACCCTTGTTTTGTAAATCTGGAACAATACCAATTACTTGAAAACTTTTATCAACAGGATATGGCCCAGTGTTCAGGCCCCAGAATTCCATTCTCTGAGTAAACTAAAGAGGTATGCTTAAGTACCTCCGGTAGAATAATTGCTAAATAAGGATAACTTGGGAACTCGTATCAAATAGAGCTGGGGTTGAATGTCTGTTGACAGTAACTTTAACTAAAGCTTCAGAATTATAAAGATTAAAAATTATCTTTAAAAACTACATTAGCATATTAAATAATATATGAGATTTTAATGAATGGTAATAATTAGTGATGAGCTGAATGTACCTGGTTTTGGTTTAAATGGGTTTGATGACCTTTACTGAAATTAGATGCTGAATCAGAACCCCAATGAAGTCAATGGGAGCTGAATCTTAAAAACCAAAAATTTACATTTTCTAAGCTAATAGGTAAGAGATTGTTAAAGATATGGCATGGAGGTGGCCACTGCCCTGGGGGGTATACTGTATGTACTAGAGCAAAAAAATTTTTTTTTTAAATTCTGTTAATGCTTAAAGTGAAACATAAAAAATTCAAAATTCCTTTAAATAACATGCCTAGAGAATGTCTTTAGCCTGTCTTTAAAGTGGAACATCTATAACATGTATACAAACTACTACAGTAGAACTCACATTTTCCAAATAAAGTAATTTAAATTGATACTAACTGGCAGCTACTGGCCTCTTCAGTCTGTTTGTAAACAAAGAGAATGGGGATTCCCTTCATCTATACCTATGTTGGTCTGGCATAGATGTTAATGGGGAGGGGGGGAGGTGTTCAGGCACAAAAAAGGCATGAGGGTTCCCCTTAAAAATGCATACCAGGGGGCGCATGCGCGGCCAGCACTGAAGGTGGACGCGTAGTGAATCGGCTCCGTCCACCCGCCAGACACAGACCGGCACACACCGACCCTGGGACTCACACACAGCACCGCAACGATCCCTTACCTAACCCGATCCTCTGCAGCTATGCCCAGAAGGAAAAAAACGGCGGATCAGCCAGGTAAACTGACCCTGTTCTTCCCTGCAGTCGGGCCGGGAATCCAAGATGGCGCCCGCGGCTGCAAAGAGGGAGAGAGGAAGGCAGAGACCAGCAGGAGGACTACAGATCCCAGCAAAAAGATCCCAGGCTGCAGCACACTGCTCTATCCCGGGGACCCTGGTGAGTTGTCACCCCCACTATCCCCTACATCACGAAGCCCGGCTAAATCTAAGCCGCGGCTAGAGCAGGATCCCAACACATTAATACAGACCCCGGAAACCACAGCATATACATCAGATATAGATGCATTTCCTGCGTCAGATATACCGCTTACAGAAATATGCATGAGAAATATGCTCACATCCCTGCGCCAAACGCTGCATACTGATATCCTCACGTCACTCAGCCAATTGTCAAATATAGTACAAAACCAGGAACGCAGAATAAGCCACATTGAGAACAACATGGGAGACGTCGTCACGGCGCACAATAATTTAATTGACGCTCATGCAGGCCACTCTGCTGACATAGAACAAATTAACCAAAAATTGGCCGACCTGGAAGATAGGTCAAGGCGCAACAATATCAAGTTCCGAGGAATACCTGAATTTGTGGCAAACGATGACCTAATCCCATACATACAACAATTTGCCAAAATCCTCGTGCCATCAGTATCTGACCTGGAACTTGCAATTGACCGGGCGCACCGCCTACCTAAACCCTCCTTTTTACCAGCATCTACACCTAGAGATGTCTTAGCACGCATTCATTTTTACCACGTGAAAGACAAAATCATGTCAGCCGCCCGCAATCCGCCTCCGATCCCGCCGTCACACGCCAATCTCCGCTTATATGCGGATCTATCCAAGGCGACTCTCCTTAATAGAAAACGCATGCTGTCAATCACCAAGGCCCTCAGGAACCACGGCATAGCCTACCAATGGGGATTCCCCACCAAGCTAACGGTGCGACAAAATGGTAGGATCTTTACCATCAAAACACTGGAAGCAGGCCTGGATTTGCTAAAATCCTGGAATATCATCCCCTGCGGAAACGCAGGATCCTACGCATAGTTCTATGGACGCAACATAGCCCTTACAGAGCATACTTTTCTTCACCATTCCACATACTTCTCCGCTCTCCCAGGAGCCATTCATACACTTAATTTGTCTGGCGTTTGGCCTACACCCTTCTACTTCGATCAAAGGTTTTTTCCTTTTTGCAATTAGCTTGACCACCACCCGGTGATCAAGCTCTCCTGCACCCCCAGTTTAGAGGTAGCAACTTGGCTACTCGTGATGTTTGCATTTTTCGCAAATGGTTTTTTTATTGTTTCCCCTATCCTCACTACTTCCTTACCCTGGCACCATTGGATATCCACTCCATTCTCTAAGATCATCTACGGCGACACAGATTGGAATACTCTTTTTACCGGCTTCAATTGAGTCACATATACGCCACATTCATTCGATCATCTTCCCTCATGGAAAAACACATACTCATCCGATTCTCCCAAATAACACTCCAGTTAACGGAAAATCCTGGAATTACAAACACCAATGATTAACTTTCTATCTTTAAACGTCCGAGGTCTCAATTCACCTTATAAACGGTCATTACTGTCTAGAGAAGCACGAAAGTCATGAGCGGACATACTCTTCATACAGGAAACACACTTTGCTGCCAACAAATCACCCAAATTATACCTTCACCGATTCTCTCAAATATTCATGGCGACCAACACCACTAAGAAAAATGGAGTGCTCACGGCCATAAATGACTCTCTTTTCATTCCGCATTATTTCACAGACAGCGGATCCACAAGGACGCTTCCATATTTTAGTGTGCCAAATAAATGACAAAACCCACACTCTAGTAAATGTTTATGGCCCAAACTGCAAACAGTTACGTTTCTACCGGAAACTTTTAAAAAACCATCTCCTTACATAAACAAGGGAAACTTATAATTGGTGGCGATTTTAACATTTTGGGGGAATTCGGATATAGACTCATCTTCCACTACCATACATACTAAAAACCTACTTTTAACCAATTTCTCTTCACGACAATGACCTCTATGATATTTGGAGATGTCAACATGCTCTGAACGAGACTATACGTACTACTCCCCTCCGCATCTTTCCTACTCACGAATAGACATGTTTATAACAGACAAATGGACACTACAACAAGTGACATCATCCAAGATAGGGACCATTACCTGGTCCGACCATGCTCCGATCCAAATATCCTTGGTAGACGATCAAAAAACAGCATTATCACCTATCTGGAGACTCAACTCTGCTCTCTTTTAGCTACACCGGAAAATTTAAAGCACATCCAAGAAGCTCATGAACTTTTCTTTGATATTAACTCCACCCCTGATATATCCATTACCACGCTCTGGACGGCTTACAAGGCCTACATGAGAGGTATCCTCATCCAATTAAACTCCCGCATTAAGAGGCAACGGTCTCAACAAATTGACCAACTTATGACTTCTATCCGCCTTAATGAAAAACTGCATAAACAATACCCTAACCCAGCCACAATGGCGATCCTAAAACTCTGATAGAAATAAATTACGAACCATTTTTCTACAGGCATATGACGCCAATCTGCAAAAAACAAAAAACCAGATTTTATGCGCTAGGTAACAAAGCTAACTCACTCCTTAGTAAGACTATTAAACAAAAGCGACTTAAAACCAAGATAGCCACAATCCGACACCCTACCTCACAAAACATTCTGACAAACCCACAAGACATTGCTAACGCTTTCGCAGCCTACTACCAGTCACTGTATAACCTAAAAGACGACCCTGATACAATTCAGCCAACAGCACAATCGATCGATCGAACAGTTTTTGCTTAACACTAATCTTCCGCGCTTAACTCATTCCCAACTGGCATCAATCTCTGTACCGATTGACCCTCCTGAGATAGAGAGAACTATACGCACTCTGCCTTTAAACAAAATCTCCTGGAAATGTGGCTTCACACAATGAATATTACAAAGCACTAGCCCCCAAAACTCACTCTACCACTAGCTCTACTATATAACCATGCCGCTACTAGTGGGGAATTTCCCCAAGAAATGCTGCAATCAATAATTTCTACCATTCCGAAGCCTGGCAAAGACCCTCAATTAGTACAGAACTACAGACCAATTTCACTTCTCAACACAGACATAAAGATATACGCTAAGATAATAGCCTTGAGACTACTTCCCTACCTACCAACTTTAATTCACCCAGACCAAGTAGGATTTATTCCTGGTAGACAAGCCCCTGATGCCACAAGACAAATCTTATCCTTAATACACCACCTTGAATTAAATCCCCAACCCTCGCTTCTACTATCGCTTGATGCAGAAAAAGCGTTTCGACCGCATTCACTGGCAATTCATGCTACATACCCTGCAAAAATTGGAATATCAGATTGGATGTTGTCAGCCATAATGTCCCTTTACTCTAGAACCCTCCGCCAAAGTATTAACCAACGGCACACTTTCTCAACCTTTCTATATCTCTAATGGAACTAGACAAGGATGCCCACTATCCCCTATAATTTTTGCTCTTCTTATT